AGGGGTGGAGCCAGTATACAGTGTAAGGGCAGGAAGAAGGCATGTCTTTTTTTTTCTCTTGCTGGTTGATGCATTGCTGTTTGCAGTGGCCATTAACAGCTGCCCCACAGCCATGCCACCCTGCCTTGCACCCAGCTACCTGCAGTCCTTAGCTGATGACCCCTTCTTTGTATCACTCCAACCTATGGTTTCTGTTGTCACATTGCCAATACAGTTCACTCAGGTCTCCCAATTCCCTCTTACAAAGACCCTTCTAATTATAAAATGATTCTTATTTTCTGTGATCACTAGACTTTATCAGCAAAGAAACACTTTTACTTATTCTTGGCCCAGAAACCTTTGAAAAGACTGTTAGCCATGCAAAGGCACAACAATACAAACTGGCAAGAAAGGGGGACAACACGTAGTCTCTGTGGTTGATGTAAGGCAGGAAAAACTTCTGATGGCTCTCCACAGGTCCCACGCAAACCGCTGGCCTGTCTGCAAATATCCCACATTCTCTTTCAAAAGCTAGTCAGCCTTAGGCAAGTACGTCACCCTCTTTGTGTGAGTTAATTTCATGAGTAAAATTGGGGCATTAATAGCACTTACCTTATAGAATTATCATGAGGATTAATTATGTAAATCCATGTTGTATATTTATTATAGCCTCTGCACCAAAGGCCCCATTAACTGTTAACTGGTCTCATCATTGCTACAAGGAGGCCCTGATGACCCAGAAGTCTAGTGCTATTTCCTCAAATACCTCCCATTCCAAGAACAGACTAAAGCCTCAAATACTGTATTTCTCAGCACCTGCCTTGCCCTACCATTTCTCTAAATTTACACTCACCTCTCTCTCTGCAATTGCAGTAGAGGCAGGTAAAATCAATATGAGCAAAAGGAACCAAATATATGCTGTACATATATCACACATATACAGTGTATATATATATATATATATGTCATACATATAAAATATATATGTTTATATAATGTATCTGTATGTTGACATTCAGGAAGTTGGGAAGAAAGTTTTCCTTCTGAAATTACACAAACACATTCTCACTGTGAAACTGTATAACAAGAAGTATTCAAAGTACATTGTGGGAAAAAAAACAAAGTACACTGTTACTCTTCATTCCCCACCAATTCTCGAAGTTATTCATTCTTTGTGTACAATCTCCTTTCTATGCATTCTATGCATTTATATTACAGATATTTGGATTTCGGAAGTTGTTTCCTCAAGTGGACCAAGCCACTACATACTGATTTGTGACCTTATCTGTCAATCAACAATATGTCTTGGAAGTCTATGTCAGTACATATAAACCTATACCAATTTTTTCACACTGCTGCCTATTATTTCATGGTAAAGTATGTACCAGTCTAGTCATTCAGAAAGATATGAACTATCACTGCTTTCCTTGTTCTTGGGCAAGAGGCAGCTAAATGGTTGGAGGTAGGCAGCTGCCTTAGGCACAACAGAGTGAGGTATGGCTTATCCCAGCTGCCTTCCTAGAGCTCCTTTCCTAGGGCCCTGGGTCTAATGGCAGCCTCTGTTTTAACCTGTCTTGTCCTCTCCTCCACCCCTCCTCCTACTGAGACCTCTGCTCCTGTATCCTGTGCCCTTAGGGTGATGAACTGTCCTGCTGCATCCCTAGTGACAGCCCACAATTACCAGGCTTTAATATGTTTGTGAAATAGTGTGTGTTTGTTTTGTGCCAGTGATTAAACTAAGGCCTTTTGCACTGAGCTATATCCATAGTCCTTTTTACATTTCTTTAAACACAAGATCTTTCTAACTTGATAAATTGCCCAGGATGAGCTGGAACTTCTGATGCTCTTTTCCCAGCCTTCTGGAGTGCTGGAACTGCAGACATTTGCCACCATGCCCAGCTTGTGAGATATTCTGACTAGAGAACAATCCCTTTCATTTTATATTTTCCTTCTCTTTCTCAAGCCAGTTTGTTTGCTTTTTCAGATGTTCTACTCTGAAGACCCCACCAGCCCTCACCCTACTCCAGTTGAGCAGAACTGTAAAGACCAACCACCAATCCTCCAAGGACAAGTCACGTTCCCTGTGGCCTTGACCTCTCAACATTAGCACACTCCCAGGACACACAGATGTGACATGATAGTGGTAGTGTTACAGGAAAGGGAATGTAAAAAACTAAGGGAACACAGAGGTAAGAGTAGATAAGAAGGATAGGAAAGGGCTGGGGATTTAGCTCAGTGGCACAGCACCTGCCTGGCAAGCATGAGTTCGATTCCCAGTACCAAAAACAAACAAACAAATGAAAAAGAAACAAAGGAGAAAGATCAGGGAGGGAAAAGACTGCCAGGACCCATCAAAAACAGACTGCAGGAACCTAGGTGTGGTGGCCCATGCCTGTAATCCTGGCACTCTGAAGCAAAAAAAAATCAAGAATTTGAGGCAAGCCTTGGTTATATAATGAGTTCAAGACCAACCTGAATTGTACAGTGAGACTTTTTCTGAAAAACTAAATTAACTTTTTAAGACTGCATAAGGACTGAAAGGCAAATCAATAGCAATATTAATGCTCTGTACTGCTGTAGAAATTCCCTCTAAAACCATTTTGACAGATGGGCATACACCATCTGCTTGCATATGTTCAATGACAAGATCATTATCTTTTAAGACCACTTAGATTAGTCAGTTTAGGTGTTCCTTAAAAGACAGAAAATAGAAGTGATGTACAGCTTAGGTTAAGAACCCAGCTGGTCTCCTATCCAGCACCAACAGCAGCAGTAGGAAATTTGTTAGAAATGCAGATTTAGGGAACCACTGAGATCTACTGAATCTGAAACTGTAGGGTGGGGCCTGTGAAGCTGGGTTTTAATAAGCCTTACAGGTGACACTAATGCTCTTGCAAGCTTGAACATAGGCTTAAGAATGGCTATGGATGGAATCAAAAGCTGAGGAAACAAAAGCACACCTTAAGTCCAGGACAGGTTCTAAACAACCGAAATCAACCTACTACAGGAATGTCCCAAAGAGTAACTGTTGTCAAGCTGGCTACTAGCATACTGAGTCCCTATAACCCAGCTTTTCTGAGCCTTTGTGGGAGACACATCTGCCAAGGCTCTCTCAAACTGTCAGAACATCCTGAAATATAATACTATTTGCCTCTAGCTCTGAACCTTGGCTCTGCACTCTTATCACTTAAAACACTAATCTCCCCCATTTGTGCTCTCACCTGAACTGAGTAAATAACCTTCTAACCACCCTTCTCCCCACCCCTCTCTTCTTGGTATCCAAGATGAGAGTAGAAGGCAAAAGGTTAGCCCTAGTGTACTCAAGCAAATGGATGTATAACCTAAATTGGAGTCACTTCCACAGCTGCTCACCCTGTCCGCATCTTACCTGATTCAGCAATACTGCCACCCTTTGGTGTAACCTGCATGAGCTCTATCCCTGGAAAATTCCACTGCCAAACTACACACTTTCCTAAGTAAAGCCCATCTCCTCTTCCTCTTCTCCTTAGAGAGAATCTTGGGTCTACAGTATAAAAAAAGGCAAGCCTACCAGCCACTACTCACTAACCAGAGACACAGACCACCATGGTGTATAAACAGTTCCCAAAGAGTTTAGGCAAAAGACAACAGCTTGACAGCCAGTGAGCTCTAGATTATCTACTGAGTCTTTCCTGTCCTTTTGCATCCTCAATGAATGGAGTGTCAACAGATTAAGAAACAAGAGAACAACATATTCTCTTGGAGAGAACTAGTATTTGAGGTTCTAGAAAGAGAAAAACAAGAAACAGTTTTAAACAGGTGTGTGGTAATGCCTGCCTATAATCCCAGCACTCTAGGAGGATCAAAAGTTCGAACTCATCCTGGGCAATTTAATAAGATCTCAAAGTTTTTAAAAAAGGGAATAGAAGGGGGCTGGGGATTTAGCTTGGCGGTGTAAGTGCCTGCCTGGCAAGCGCAAGGTTGTGAATTTGATCCCCTGTACCAAAAAAAGGGGGGAGGAGACAGAAAAATGTAGCTCAATACAAAGGTTGTGGGTTCAATCCCCAGAATAAAAACCCTTCATTTTTGAAGAAACTATGGCATAAAACTTTCCAAGTGTGATGGAAAGTATTAATTCAAGAAATTCAATAAGTTTCAAGTCCACACTCTTTGACACATAAACATAGGCCTAAAGAAAGCATGGAGCAGGGCATGGTGGTATACAATTGCTATGCCAGGATTCTGGGAGGCTGAGGCAAAAGAATCACAGCCTTCAGCCCAGCCAGGGCCACTTAATGAGACTGTGTTTCAAAATAAAAAATAAAAAGGGCTAGGGATGTAGCTCAGTATCAAAGTCCTGGGTTTAATCCCCATTACTGCAAAATAAAAAAAAAAGAAACAGCTTAAATGTGTGGTAATACCCTTAAAGGGTGCTAATGCTGGGCCCCTCAAATAGCTCATTTCCCACTTCAACTGATTATGATCATTTGCTTGATTAAAAGCAGTCATAATAGTAACTGAGGTTTATTTATTAAGCAAATGCTTAATTAAGCTACATCAGTTATTAAACTGACACTTGAGGTTTAGGAATAAAAGAAATGGAAATTTAATATCAAGCTATGGGGGAAGTAAAAGTGTAATTAGTCAATTATATCTCTGTCATCCAGGCAAGCTTTTGAATGCATCCATGCCTCCAAAACTCTTGAAGCTTCAGTGAAGGGAGAAGGGCCTGGAGACAGCATGTGCCAGGTACTTAAGAGTCGTCTAGTAACTTGCTGTTGGAGGGGGAGGGACTAGCTCAGGGCCCAGGGGAAGTTCTAGGATTCTGACTTCAGAAAGCTAGAGAGACAAGAGGCTGAGAACTGAAAAAGAGACAGTAATTCTTAAAGGCATCAGGATCCCAAAGATGATGAGCTGCCAGCCTGGACTGCCAGTGAAGCCCAGAATGGTACTATGACTCTAAATCTCTTTCTCCCACAGCCCAGAATTTGAGCTGAAGAGCCAGCATGCCCTGGTAAGTGGAAGTCCTGCCTCTTCAAGACATGGAGTCATCTGCCTCATTTGGAGTGGTCCTTGCTGTCCTGGCCTTCCTCATCATTGCCGTGAATGCACTAGTGGTTGTGGCTGTGCTGTTGTCAATCCACAAAAGTGATGGTGTTGGTCTCTGCTTCACCTTGAATTTGGCTGTGGCTGACATCTTCATTGGTGTGGCTATCTCGGGCCTCATCTCAGATGAGCTCTTCAGCTCTGTTCAGCCCACACAGAAGACTCTATGCAGCCTTCGAATGGCATTTATCACTTCTTCTGCAGCTGCCTCTGTGCTCACGATCATGCTGATTGCCTTGGACAGGTACCTTGCCATTAAGCAACCCCTTCGTTACTTTCAGATCATGAATGGGCTCGTGGCTGCGGCCTGCCTTGTCGGCCTGTGGTTGCTGTCTTACCTCATTGGCTTCCTGCCATTTGGAGTCTCCATATTTCAGCAAACCACCTACCACAAGGTCTGTACTTTCTTTGCTGTATTTCACCCAAGATTTGTGCTGATGTTGTCCTGCGTTGGCTTCTTCCCAGCCACGTTCCTCTTCATCTTCTTTTACTGTGACATGCTCAAGATTGCCTCCATGCATACCCAGCAGATCAGAAAAATGGAACACACAAGAGCCATGGTTGGAGCTTACCAGCCCCCACGGTATCCCACCGACTTCAAGGCTATCCGCACCGTGTCTGTTCTCATCGGGAGCTTCACTTTATCCTGGTCTCCCTTCTTTATCACTAGCATTGTGCAGCTGGCCTGCCAAGAGTGCAACCTCTACACGGTGCTGGAAAAGTACCTGTGGCTGCTTGGAGTAGGCAACTCCCTGTTCAACCCACTCATCTATGCCTATCGGCAGAAGGAAGTGCGACAACAGCTCTGTCACATGGCCCTGGGAGTGAAGAAGGGGCTCACTTCATTCCTTCTTCTCTTCCTAGCCAGGAATGGGCATCCAGAGAGGCCCAGGGAAAGTTCCTGTCACATTGTCACTATCTCCCACTTGGAGCTTGATGGCTAAGATGGTAAGGAAGGAGAAGTTTCAAAGTGCTTTTGCCTTCCCCTCTGGGCCCCAAGTAGGAGACAGAGCTAGAGGAATGAAATAACTGGCCTCAGGCAATTGAGCACCCCACCTCCCCACCTCCTCACCCCCGGAACCAAGGGTAACTGAGACAAGGTCCTGATTTTCTTCTCTAATCAGTTTGTCTATTTGCAAGTCACCACTCCCTGCCCTTATTTTGACCAGGTATAAAGAAAGATAATTACTACTAAAAAACATATTTTTTTGAGGCAGAGTCCCAGGCTGGGCTTGAACTTGGTATGTTCTGAACTCCCAATCCTCCTGTTTCAGCCTCCCAAGTGCTGCGATTAGAGCGATAAACCACTATACTTAGCTTCTAATCCTATTTTTTAATATTTCAGAGCAATACTGCCCAATACAAATATAATGCAAGCTACATACATAATTTTTAATGTTCTAGTAGCCATGTTAAAAAGGAAGTATACAAAAATTAATGTTTTTTAGTCTCAGGATTCAATTTTTAATAATTTTAATTGTACATATACAGGGGTACAATGTGATATTTCAATACATGTGTATAATATGTACTGATCTAATCAGAGTAGTTAAAATTTCCATTCCCTTAAAGATTAATGTTAATCCTTTACTTAACCCAATATATCCAAGCTATTATCACTTCAACATATGATCAATATTAAAAATTACACCTTTTTATATTAAATCTTTGAAATCTGGTATATATTTTGCTCTGACAGAACATCTCAACTGAAACTAGCCATACTTTAAAAGTTCAATAGCCACATACAGCTAGTTGTTCCCAAACAAGACCACACTGCACAATTGTTATTTTCTTTGTAACTGTATATTATAATGATTTACCATAAAAATTGCTTCAGTAATATAAGTTCTTCTACCTTCTGCCTTCCCTAATGTGAATCAAGTATTTTGTATAGAGTTAAGACTCTAAAGCTTGTCTTTTCCCACACCTCATGGGCTCAGGGATTCAAAATAATATGGACTCTTTGGGGCAGAAGAGCCTGCTATTAATCTCCTAGCCTATCATGTTTTTCCACTCTCCTGTGCCCCTTCCCTTCAGTTGCTGGTATGTTACTTGTAGCTACTGGTGAGGACAGTGCTAACTCACACATTCTGAGACACTACAAGGGAAGAAAGCGGGAAAAGAGGTAGACCACGGCAGGTACTGCCAAGCTCTCCAGATTCAGACCAGTCTGCTCCTCAGAGCTATACTTTATTCCATTTGTTCCCAAAGTTGCATTTTCCTAAGAAACTCAGTTGCACAAGAAGATGCCACCAAAATTTCATAAGCGATCACCTGGGGAGCAGGTGCCTCATCTTAATTTCTGTGGGGTACAGATAATGTCAATATTGGCAGGTGGGCTTCCTCTGAAAGCCCTGACAGGAAAATTCAAGAACAAATAGGGGAGAAATCCAGGGACCACATTCTGCTTTCCTGAGCTTCCGTGTAACCCTTTTCTCGACCTCCTGATTTCCACAGTGGATTCTTAGTGATTTTGACTTTCAAGGTCCTAAATTGAATTATCTCCTCAGAAAGCTACATTGACAGCAAAAGAGGGCAAGAAGAAACTAAAACAATGCAGATTAATTTAACTGGAATTTTGGTGCTGAAACAATCTTAGAAGGTTAATCCTTCAATATTTCTATAATGGCTAATTTCAAGAGGCTCTCAAAATGTTTCAATCAAATCTCAAGTATTCAGAACCTGGGTGGAATCTAGCCATCCTCCTCTAAAAAGACCACCACCATACTATGACACTTTGTTCTTGAGTTTTCTGAATTTTCCTCTAGTCTTAGATTAGCTTTCAGCTTTCTTTCATCAGCCATTCAGTAGATAATGACTACCCTTTGAGTTTCTGTACTCTTGAAAATGCCCTTCTATCTTTACTCTCCATCTAATAGTCTGTTTCTCATTCATCTATTCCCCACATCATCCTTCTTTTGGTAAACTTTCATGTTTGCTTTCACTATACTGAGTTATGAGTTACAGGGAACTTGGTAAAATACAAATAACAACAGGATTTTTGACAAAGCAGGCTCAAACCAATGCACCTTCTTATTGGTCATTCAAAGCCTAATTCCTGGCCTGCTGCAAAGGATGCATCTTGCTAAGGTAACAGAAGCAAAATGTAATGCAGTTTGCTTAATTGGCCTTATTTAATCATTCTACACATATCAAAAATCACATTGTATCCCCTACATATGTACAATTATTATCAATTTACAATGAAATATTAAAGAGTTTTAATGTTATAGGAGAAAAGGGGGAATGGCTAGGTGAAAAGTGTGTTATTAGGTTCAGTCTGACTGAGAAATGCTGCTCTTCCAGGAGTCAGTATGTGCAGAAAAATCACAGGCTTTGAAGTTCAACAGACAAGGGTTGACATCATGATTCAGTTATTTGTAGTCTCAAAACTAAATTCCTCATCTGTTAAATTTGGGTAAGAGTGATTACCATATATTGGTAATGTATGTGAGAATGCCTACTAAACTATACAGAAAACTGTAGGTGTCCAGAAAAATGTTAGTTTTCTTCCTTAAACATCCTAAATAAAATAGCCATCTGACCCATTTAAGGGAGTCCATCATATTTAAATATTATGATCCACAAGACAAAGACAATTTTCTCATAACTTTGAATTATTCAACTTCTGAGTAAGGTTTTACAGAATGAGTAATAAGTGATAACTCAGATAGAAAAAGACAAATAGTAAATCTAATATCTCAGGAGTATCAACACAGAGCAGACACAAATAAAGCACTGCCACTAATATCAGACATTTGAGCTTAAGAGTAACCACAATGGGGGCTGGGGATTTAGCTCAGTGGCATAAGCGCCTGCCTTGCAAGCAGGCAGTCGTGAGTTCGATCCCTGGTACCGATAAAAAGGAAAAAAAAAAAAAAGACAAAAAAAAAAAAGAGTAACCACAATGAAGAACACTGTTTAATAAGCTGCCAAGAGCTGGTGATTTACCTCAGTGGCATAAGCACCTGCCTGGCAAGCACCAAGTCATGAATTTGATCCCTGGTACAAAAAAAGCTGTCAAGAGCAGAGATACATATTCTATGCAAAGATTTAATGGCTTTCTTTGACACAGGCTCCTTCGCAGATAAGGAACTGCATTGAAAAGGATCTACTCATGCATCCAGAGTGTCTTCTGATAGACTTGCAAAGAAGACAGATACTGTTCAGCAATTGATCAAAATATCCAAGATATTAATACACTGTAGGATACAATATAGGTCAATCTGTTCCACTGATAGTTTCCATGAGCAACTTAGCATGGATTTGCTATAAAAACTATGACAATACTAAGTTAGATATTAAATCCTATGTAGCTAGTTATACATATCACACCTCAGTTTCAGGACTACTCTAAAGAACCTAAGATCACATAGGCCCTTGTACAATACTTGTACAAAAGTCAATACTTTTGTAAGTGTTAGAGGCAGGCTGCTTTGACCTACCAACACTTTCCTGCATGACCAATAAGCCCATCTCTGGGAGCTGGCCAGCCAGTTAGCCTTGGGATACCTTTTCCTTAGATGAACTCGTATTAACTGGTTCAAATAGGAATTGAACTCATGACCCAGATTTAATTTTCACCAACTTTAGTCTTTGGCCAAACTGAATAGAGACCAACAAAAAGAGCAGGCATGATAGAGATTTCAAAGGCATGCAAAATAAGAGGAAACATGGTATCAATACTTGGGCAAAAAGAATAGCAATGGACTCAAGCACAAACCATAACTCCTTGTCTTTCACCAGGCACTCAGTTTTACGTTGCCTTCAGTATCTTTCACATTATCCTTCAAAAACTGCTGGTGGGTCTGGAATCTTCTTTTAATTAATAAATCCTCATTTGTTATTTCTGCAGTCTTTTAAAGTCAATGATGGTACCTAAAAATGTCACCTACCATTCATTTGTCTAATCATCCATCCACTTACCTATCCCACAAGTATTTGAGAGCTAGGTGCTAAAACTGTCCTATCTTTTATGGCATTTCTTTTAGAGACACACATTAATGTATAATGAGGTTTATTATTTCTTTACTATTATAAAAACAAGTTTTATTCATTTTAGAAAATTTTTAAAATATGAAAAATTCCAAAAGTACCCGTAATTAACCAGAAATGACAGTTATTCCCCTTTGTCTTTTTTACACTTAAAATTATACTGTGCAATGTTTCCCTATGTCATTAAGTCTTCTTCAAAATCATAACTTGTAATGGTTGCATGTTTTTTCAACAAACATGTAATATCTGAACAATTTCCCAGGGCTAGGGATACAGTTCAGTGGCACAGTACCTACCTGGCAAGCACAATGTCCTGAGTCCAACTCCTAGTACAAAAAAAACTTCCCAATGGTTGTGCGAAAATTGAGGTTATTTCTAACTTCTCATTGTTATAACACCACCATAAATACCCTGTATATAAATCTTTGACATGTCTATGTCAAATTCCTTAAGGGTAAATTCTCCAAAGCAATATTACTAGATGAAGGGACATTAAACATTTATGAGAATTTTGATTCTGACTTCTGCTAAGATTTCTTGAAGTGTAATGTTTCCTTGAGATAAAAGAGAAGTCATAAATGAACCATATATCAACAGGCTACACTGAAACATCTCCAAGAAATAAAAGCATATGAATTCCTGAAAGCATAAACCATATAGAGGAAGTTAATTGGTTATTTTAACAAGGTGAAATCTTTTGTTAGGCCCTACTACTAGTGTTGTCCTTCTGTTTCTGACAAATTAAAATATCTAACAGAATACAGCAGTTTAAGAAAGCACCTCACCTCATGGATATGAGGGGATCTGGCTGCAATGACTGTCACATTACTGATCGTCAGGCTGATTCAGCAGATCTAGCCAGTGGGGCAGGCTACCCCTTCCTCCCTCACTGTTCCAGGTGCATCCCTCCTGAAGCTGCTCCCTAGATTGAAGAGAACCTTCTTTG